GAGTGGGTTCCCATGCCCTCCTCCATGGGATCTTCCCAACTCAGGGGTTGAACCTGTGTCTCCTGCATCACAGGCAGATTCTTTACCACTGAGCCACTGGGGAAGCCCCAAATTAACTCAGGGGACCAAATTACTGAACAGACCACTACACAGAAGTTAGACTGATGAATTATATACAACCCCCAATGAACAGAATCAAGGAAAAAAAAGAAAAGAAAATTACAGGGATACAGATTTCTACTCAGCATAAGAAACTTTGTAACAATGAGTATTCAGAAGATAAAAAGAACTCCCTTGGCCAGCGAGGCTCACATAATCAGAAGTACTCAAGGAAAGGACAGATGACCACATTAACAAGGGTATTATAGAATGGAATTCCAGAATTAGCTGGGTAAACAGACTATTAATGTTGTGTCCAACTGTGGCAACAGTAACATCAATACTTCTGTTAGCTAATATTAATAGCAGTTAACCATTTATTGAGCTCTTTTAACAAGAAAGTTACTGTGCTGAGGAAAACAGACCTTCACCCTTTTATAGATAAGGAATGGGAATTCAGGTGACTTAAATCATCTGCCCATGTCATATATAATTGGCAATGCCAAGACCCAAAATATCTCTTGCCTCTGAAGATAGGCAAGAGATGGACTTTGAGAAATGGGTGCCACTGGAAAGACATAAAATTTCAGATATGTTAGCTTCTGTCTGACACCTTGATGGGAAATGCTCTACAGTAAGCAGCAGTGAGGTGGGGTTTTTTTCCCTGTTTCTGTCTTTTTTAATACAGATGACACAGGCCAGACATATAGAGCATACTATATGCAAATACTGAAAAGTTACGGGAGAAATGAGTAAATGAAAGACAAAAATATTTGAAGTCAAATTACCTTAGAATTTAAAATCTAAGGAGTTCCCTGCTGGTCTAGTGCTTAGGATTTAGCACTTTCACTATTGTGGCCTGGATTCAATCCCTGGTAGGGTAAATGAGATCTCACAGACTGTGCAGCACAGCCCAATAAATCAAAGAAAAATTTAAGAAAATATCTACACAGCATCATTATAGTATTATCTAAGCACTAATCAACAGCAACAAGGAATGAACTGATCTTACCCTATGTGAAGTTTACAATGGGACCTTAATTTCTGTAATGAAATTACGTTTTATGCATCACTGCAGTGAACCATCATTCTGTACACACTAGCAACCATAAAGAAGACCCATTTATATGACTACTGCTAAGCTGTGAGAGCGTCTCAAAATAGTTAATGGAATTCCTTTTTAATTAAACAGTTTTGTATGCTAAAAAAATTAAGAGAGGAAACAAATTGTAAGAGCTTTGTTAAAATACAAACTGAAGGGAAAAAATGGTTCAGGAAGCACAAGTACCCTTCAAGTGATACATTCTTTGATGATGCATTTCAATAACCTCAGTTTTGGCTTTCATGCTAGAAACTCTAAACATACTCAACCTGGGAAACAAGTCAATCTTATCTAAATAGAAGTAGAGAGACAATCTCAACAAAACAGAAACGAAGTCAATCTTATCTAAATAGAAATGGAGCCCTGGTGGTCTAGTGGCTAGGACTCCATGTTCCCAGTGCAGGGGGCCAGGGTTCAACCCAGATGCAGCAACTAAAGAGTTCTGCATGCCTGCGGCAACTACGACTTGGCACAGTCGAATAAACAACTAAAAAAAAAAAAAGACGTAACAGAAAATTGTTGAGAATAAGATAGCAAACTGTATTTCAACAAATTTAGGTTGTAAAAAGATAAGTGAGTTATAGCAAGTGGTCTAAGCTATGAGAAGAACAAAAGGGCAAGCATGTATTAGCGAACCCAGCTTCTGTTGACAATGAATAAAGACAGCTAAAAACAACCATGCAAAATGCTTCCCTGTCTCATGAGTAGGATAATTTTCATTCACAGAGCACAGTTAAAGTTTAATGAAAAGAGAACATTATTTTAAAGGACAAAAAACTACTACAAATTTTCAAAAGAATCTCAACTCATCCATTCTAATAGTAGGAAGGGAGCCAAACAGCCTAATTATTCATTATTTTCTCAAAGAAACACTGTTATCTCTGTTTCAAAATAAACTTATATTAGGACCCAAATAAAAATATGCAAAACTATACTTTATGGGGAAAAGGAATTAATAATTATTAAAAACAGGTCAAGTATTAAGTGGAAGGCATCACATACATCATCTAACAAAAAGTCAACACGCACAGTATCCTCTATTTAATTTAAAGGGCATTAACTAAGACTGAAGAGAGGTCACGGCAACTGTCCAAGTAACAGACCCTGAAACCAAACCAAGATCTAACCCAAAGTTCTTCAGAACTCCAGCTTTATTACAGGACACACTGCATATGACACAATTACCTTTCTTATAAGGAAGTTACTTCAAACTCACCTAGACTATATTTTCTAAGCAGTTATATTGTAGCACTATTACCCTAGATAATAGCTGGGATAAAAAACAAAGGTACTAAAATGCCCTTTCAGTTTTGATCACCTAAAAGAACTATATATAAACTCAGGGAAAGAAATACAAAGTTTTTCCCATAGAAATTCTTAAATAGCCCATTCTTTCTCTTCTCTCTCTCCCCTTAAAACACCATCCAGAGCCTGGGACATACTGTTACGCCTAGAAGTAAGGACATGCTCAAACAATGATGCTGCTACTGCAGCTAAGTCACTTCAGTCGTGTCTGACTCTGTGCGACCCCATAGACGGCAGCCCACCAGGCTCCCCCGTCCCTGGGATTCTCCAGACAAGAACACTGCAGTGGGTTGCCATTTCCTTCTCCAGCACATGAAAGTGAAAAGTGAAAGTGAAGTTGCTCAGTTGTGTCCGACTCTTAGTGACCTCATGGACTGCGGCCTACCAGGCTCCTCCATCCATGGGATTCTCCAGGCAAGAGTACTGGAGTGGGGTGCCATTGCCTTCTCCGTCAAACAATGATGAGGACAGGTCAAAAAACCACAGAAGCCATCATGAAGGGACTTCCCCCAGCCAAATCCAGAAGAACTTACACATCAAATTAAATGACAGTAATGTACTATAATTCATTGAATAACCAGGAACCCCATTTTTCCAAAATTATAAAGATAAAAAGATTAAGAGAGACAGATAAATGCATAAATCTATGGAAGAAACTGAAATCTTTTCCTTACAAAAGAATGCCAACTAAATAAAAATAGAAGGAATGGTACATTTGAAAATTAACATTACAGTCACATAGTAATAAATGATATACAAGAACCACCAACAGAAGCTTAAACAAGTGATTTAGATTTTGATAACAAACAGGATAATTACACAATTATATTTGGTCACACAAAATGCTGGGATGGATGACTCACAAGCTGGAATCAAGACCACCGAGATATACATCAACAACTTCAGATAAGCACATGATACCATTTTAACGGCAGAAAGTTAAGAGAAACTAAAGAGCCTCTTGATGGAAGGTGAAACAGGAGAGTGAAAACGGTGGCTTAAAACTCAACATTAAAAAACAAAGATCATGGAATCTGGTCTCATCACTTCATAGCAAACAGATGGGGAAAAAAAGGAAACAGGGTCAGATTTCATTTTCTTGGGCTCAGAAATCACTGCAGACAATGACTGCAGCCACGAAATTAAAAGACGCTTGCTCCTTGGAAGGACAGCTAAGACAAATCTAGACAGTGTATTAAAAACACAGACATCACTTTGCCGACAAAGATCTGTACAGTCCAAGCTGTGGTTTTTCCAGTAGTCATGTATGGATATGAAAGTTGGACCATAAAGAAGGCTGAGTATCAAAGAATTGATGTTTTCAAACTGTGGTGCTGACGAAGGCTCTTGAGAGTCCCTTGGACTGCAAGGAGATCCAACCAGTCAAACCTAAAGGAAATCAACCTTGAATATTCACTGGAAGGAATGGTGCTGAAGCTGAAACTCCAATATTTTGGCCACCTGATAAGAAGAACCAACTCACTGGAAAAGAACGTGATAGTGGGAAAGACTGAGGGCAATGGGAGAAGGGGGCGACAGAGGATGAGATTGTTGGATAGCATCACTGACTTAATGGACATGAGTCTGAGCAAACTCAAGGAGACAGTGAAGGACAGGGAATCCTGGCATGCTTTCAGGGGGTCGCAAATAGTGGGACACAACTTAGCAACTGAACAACAACAACATTGGATCTGGCCACAGATTACTTATTAATTTCAAAGAGAAATAAAGATCATAGTTAACAAGTCCTTTTCTATAGTGTCACTACTGAAAAAGCATACAGTAAATCTAACCACGAGGAAAATATCTCAAATTTATATAAAACATATGGCCTGAATCCATCCAAATGTCAATGATGACCCCAAGGGAAAAAAAAAAGGAAAAGTTAAAGAACTCTTCCAGATTTTAAAATGACATCATAACTAAATATAATGCATGATTAAGAGCTAATCTGGGGGGGCGGGCAGGACAGAGGTTAAGCTAAAAAGAACATAACTGGGACAGATGATAACAGCTGAGCTGAACTACAGATTAGATAATGGTATTTTATCAATGTTGTATTTCCTATGGGCTTACATGAGAGGATGTCTTTGTCTTCTATAACTACTTCAGAGTTATAAAAAATGAATCTCAACTGTGTAAATGATGTTTATTCAGGGAATAAATCTGAATGCACTCATGTGCACACACAACACATACTGAGTTCAAAGCTGGGGTGAGTGAGAGGGTGAGGAGTCACACGAAATATAAAGCAAATTGGGCAAAAGAGAAACTGTAAGTGAATCTATGCAAAAGGATATGTGGAGTTCTTTGGGCTATTTCTAAAAATTCTGTAAGTTTGAAATTATATCAATATAAAAAAAAACACCAAGAGGTTTATATAAATTTTCATAAAGTTGTATGTGAAAGTGTTTTGAGAGACACAGGAAACCTTCTGAGTATCTAGCATTATACTAGGGTGTCAAAATCACCATGCTGCCGTTCCTTCTCTTACCTTTCTAACAGATTGTGGATCGCTTTGAAGAGCAGCGTCCGACATTCATAGGAAAGGCCATTTTCCCAGAGTCCTTCTTCCACAACTGAAAACAAAACAAAACAAAGCAAAACAAAAAAATGAACCAGTAAGCAGGGCATCCAAATAAAAATAAAAGAAACTTTAAAAATATTTTTCTAAAGCAAAGTTAATGAGTTAATTTAAGTAGATGAACTTACACTGAAACAGAAAATAAGTTCAATCCTTGTCCAAAATCATAAAATACTTATGTACAAAGGGAATAATGTCTCAATTTTAAAGTTACTGAAACACAGGCATGGCACATCCCCCTCACACAAAGGTCTTACCAACCCACCTCTGCAAAGTCTGAAACCATCCAAAAATCTCAAATTACTCTTTCTACCTAATAGTGTCACAAATAATTTTATTAAGGTTCTACTTAAAGTAACAAAATGGCACAGATTAATACAAAGGTAATCATGTGTATTTTCAGAGAGAAAACAACAACAACCAAAAAATCCAAAAAATGGGACATTACACAAATTGCTCTAAATGTTCTGAAAGCAGTTATCTGAATCAGATTTTTAAAACATGGTTTTAGGGAGAATGCCAGAAAATTAAGTCTTAATATAACACCAAATTCATTTCCTGAACTCATAATTTCATTAATGTTTAACATTTGGCAAAGTTTTAATATTTGTTGAATATTTGCCTTTGAAATATGCTGCAGCATCACTTAAGAGCCACTAGGAACTTTGACACCAGAGAGTCCAACAAACCAACAATATGCCTCATGCATTCCTAACATTCTTTTCATATGTAAAAACTACAAAATGCCTGAGAGAAGATAGCTAATTTTCTCCTAAATTATATTAGTTCATTTCAACACAGTAAAATATTGAAAGGATGCAGACAACATCTGCAGATGAAAATTTCCCTCTCCCTTTTTAACATGTCGTCTTGACACAAGTACTCACCGGAGAAAATTGTAACAGAGAATTAAAACACACGTTAAATCCATAATGCACTTTTAATGCATTTATCGCACAAACTAACTTTCAAATTGCATCTCCTTAGTCTCCAATTAGAGAGAATTTGAAAAAGTATACTTACATTTAGGGGTTTTCTCTACAGGACTTTTTTTTTTGAATGATAAAACTGGATAAATATTTCTTTTCTTGGGATGTCAGATAATTTATCTTCCTGACTATGTGGCTAATCATGACCTACCAAATTTTTCCAAATTAACCTCTGTCAAGAGACATTTTATATTATTTTTAACTAGATAAATGGAAATAAAGTACAGCAAATAAACATTCCTGCTAGCAACTATCTCTGCTCAGGACAAAACATCCAAATGTTTTCTACAATCCTGTAAAGGCATCATGAATCTCTACTTTCACACATTTATTTTTGGGGTTGAGCTTTTCTGAGTGAGAAAGCAAGCTAATATATTTCAGTGAAAGGAACATCCCGAATTAATTTGCTCTTATTCCTAACATAAGCTAAAAATTCCTACTTTAATAACAAAGCCCAGCTCTTCTGAATTACTCTTCAAATCAGTCACTAGTTTCAGCTTTTTCTATATATTAGTCTTCTGTGCCATAAAGAGTGCTGGTGATGCATTATTTATGAAAAAAGTATCCCATTCGTCTTTCCAAGATTTTCTTCCAAGTTGGTGGCACCTATTCTGCACATTAAAAAAAACAGGAACTTTTATAATTAAAACCTTCACACATACTTTAGTGTAGAATAACAGGCCTCAAATAACCTCCAACACCAAATTATCAACAGTGTCATTTGCTTCAACCACACTGCTTTCCTTTTTCTCTTTTTGATTTTCTTGATATATTTTTGAAGCATACCCCACTCCAAAGTACTTCAGTATATATAAAATTTGAATCTAAACAAGGTCTATCAAATTGCCTGTCAAGTTGTATCTCTTAAGACTCCTTAATCTCAACAACTCATCTCCTTTTTTCAAACATGGCATTTATTTATTGAAGAAACCAGGTTAGTTGTTTTATAGACTACCTTCCATTCACATCTGATTGTTTCCTCATGATATTCTTTAATGTTGGCACTACTTTGATCTTAACAGACGATGTCAAAGGAAAGCTCTCAGACAACAGAGCTCTATTTCTTCCTCAAAAGATCCTCAAATACTTTGTTAACTGAAATGTGCAAGGGTTATAGCTGTCTGGTCATGCACTGTGGAATACTAAACAAGTTTTAGCATGCACAGGTAATGCCAATTACATCACAGTCTTATGACACCATTATGATCTTATCCTGATTTCAAGAATTTTTAAAATAGCCCTTAGAAATTTTTCTTTGAAAAAAATCTTAAAAGAGCAATTACAACACACCTACACCTAACATCATACTGTTAAAAACACTGAATATTTCTCCTAATATCAAAAACAAAGCAAGGATGTCTGCTCTGATTAGTCTTATTCCACTTTACAGCGGAGGTCTCAGCCAGTACAAGAAAGTAAGTACCAGGCATACTAATTGGAATAGAAGAAATGATCTTTATACAGATGACATGACTATTAGAAAATCCTAAAGGATCAACACAGAAAAGCTACTATCACCAAAACTGAGTTTAAGTTAGTTAAGGTCAACAGACATGAAATAATCATATTTTTATACAATGTAATGAATAATTAGAAATTTTTAACAATTTGAGTACTATTTACAATAGCACCAAAGCCCATGAAATTCTTAGGTATAAATCTTACAATTGGGAGACTAACACTACCTAACTTCCAGGTTAACTATAAAGCTAGAATAAACAAGACAATATGGCAGTATAGAGAGGACAGATATACAGATCAACAGAACAGAAAAGAAAGTCCAGATATAGACCCACAAATATATAGTCAACTGATTTTCAACACAGCTTGCAAAGGCAGTTCTGTGGAGAAAACAGTCTTTTCAACAGATGATGCTAGGATTAATGAATATCCCTATGGAAAAAAACTGAGCCTGTCCTCATGCCATATAGAAAACCTCAAAATGGATCATAAAACAAAATGCAAAACCTAAAACTATAAAACTGTGAAAATACAAGAGAAACCTTTTATAAGTTTAGGTTAATCAAAGACTTCAAAGCTGACACCAAAAGCATGATTCATAAATAAAAACTGTTAAACAGTGCTTCATAATAATAACTTAGCTCTTTAAAAAGCACAGAAAGTTATAGTAAGCTATAGAAAAGATAAGCCACAGATGGAGGGAAGGCAATTACAAATCACATATCTGTCAAGGACATGTATTCAGAAAATGCTCTTCTTTAAAAAAAAATCCCAAAACAACACAGTTTTAAAAAAAGTTTTAGAGAATGGACAAAAAATTTGGACACTTCACCGAAAAGATATATGAATGGCAAATAAAAACATGAAAATATGCTCAAAACATCATTGCCATTAAGGAAATGCAAATTAAAATCACAGTAAGATATCACCCATTAGAATGGCTGGAAAGAAAAACTGAAAATCCTAAGTGCTAGTGAGCATATAGGTAACTAGAACTGTCCTATACTGCTAATGGAAATGCAATATTAGTAAAGTCACTTTGGAAAAGCTGACTGGAAATTTTTCCAAAGTTAAACATGTGCTTTACATACAGCTTAGCAATATCCCTCCTAAGTATATATGCAAGTGGAATAAGAACTTAGGTTCACATGAAAAACTGTAGCAAATTTTTTTTTGCCCCCATATTTGACAAAAACTAGAAACTACCCAAATGTCTCTCAACTGGGGAATGGTCAAACAGTGGAAAATCCATACACCAAAATACCATTCAGAAATAAAATGAACTACTGATACATCTAAAACATGAATGAATGTCATTAAAGTGTTAGTCGCTCAGTCATGTCTGACTCTTTGTGACCCCATGGACTATAGCCCACCAGGCTCTTCTGTTCATGGAATTCTTCAGGCAAGAATATTGGAGTGGGTTGCCATTTCCTACTCCAACTGATACACCTAAAACATGAATCAATGTCATTAGGTTAAATGGAGAAAGTCACACTTAAAAGGCCACATGCCATGTGATTTCATAGTATGACATTCTTGCAAAGGCAAACTTGAGGTAAGGTGAACTGGGAGTGGTGAGAGGAGGGCTTATAACATAAGGACAAAGAAAGTGGGGCAAGAGGCATGGAGGTTGGGTTGGGGGTGCTCCTGGAATATGCTTATATTGATTTCTAAAATACATTTTTAGTGTTGAATTAAAAGAACTCCTACTCTAAATATGTATTCTAAACATAACTGTTTTTACTCAAAGGATTGTGTCTATTTGATTAACCTAAATTATTAAAAGCAAAAAACAGCTGTAAGCAAAAAGATACCACAGACCCAACCACAGGGGTCCTCCCAAACAACATAATATACTATAATTTATAGTATGTACTTGTTAATTACTATAAATAATACAAAGAGAGAGTCTCTTTCCTGGCTCAGTTCGTAAAGAATCCGCTTGCAATGTGGGAGACTCGGGTTCGATTCCTGGATCGTGAAGATCCTCTAGAGAAGGAAATGGCAACCCACTCCAGTATTCTTGCCTGGAGAATTCCATAGACAGAGGAGCCTAGCCGGCTACAGTCCGTGGGGAAGCAAGAGTCGGACACAACTTAGCAACTAAACCACCATCATACCAAGAGAAGAAAATAATTCAGGAAGATGCTTTTGCTTTTTAAATATCTGAAAAAGTATCTTTATTAATATTATTAATTAAATTCTCATGTCTCCCTCATACAGTATAACAAAGTTTAGGAACCAGTGTAATAAAACAACAGCGAATAAAGTAGTAACATGAAATAAAACCAATTCCTCTACATTAAGCTCTTGTTTAAGAAAAGTACACTAAAGCTGAAACAATAATAGAAAATTATGAATTATCCTATAAGTTACCCAGTAAATTTTTAAATATAAGTCAGTAGAGGTAATTAAAAAGGATACAGTGTTTGAACTTCATGTAAACATCTGAGTTTCATAAGTCATATGATTTATTACAGATTTCAAAGCAGTCAATAATTTACTGGAAGTCAACAACTGTGATCCAAGATTAACCACTGTA